CTGAACGCAAATCCAGACTCTGCATTGCCCACGTGCGCTGAATAAGAATCCTCATTTTCCTAGAGTCCCCAGATGATTCTTAGGACAATCAAGTTTGAGAAGCCCTGGTTAAGCAAGTGGGTTTCAAACTGGGCTGCTGCCACCTAATTAGTAAGTCATGAAATCACCTTCGTGATTGTGACCAGGATTTTTTTAAATGATATCCTATAGAGAACATCCAAGAGTGTGTCATACACAGGAAGGGTAAGTATCGTGAGATTTGTTTCAATTGTAAATATTGGGTCATTGTGTAAAATGTGTGGTTCCTCCCTTCCTTCACCCCTGTGGGTCACGTCAAAAGCACTGGTCCCGTGGTCTGGCTGGCTACCTGTGCAGGTCTAAGCTTTACCTTTCCATCAAGTTCACACACCAGGAAGATATCCGCAGCTCATTAACTTACCCCCCCACCCCGCCAATCCACCTGAAGGGAAACATGCTTTCTTGTGTTCTTTTTTTTTTTTTTTTTTTTTTACCATGAACTTTTACAAGAAATGGTTGTGTGCGTTGATCAGTGACTATTTAACAGGGACTCACTGGATATATTCTTTCTAGAAAAAATAGCTCTGGGCAGCCCGAGTGGCTCAGCGGTTTAGCGCTGCCTTCAGCCCGGGGTGTAATCCCAGAGACCCAGGGCCGAGGCCCATGTCAGGCTTCCTGCATGGAACCTGTTTCTCCCTCTGCCTGTGTCTCTGCCTCTCTCCCTGTGTCTCTCATGAATAAATAAATAAAATCTTTAAAAAAAAGATAAAAGAGCTCTCCTGAACGACAGCATGTTTCTTTTTATTAATGCATTATTGAATTGGTTATATATAATTTTTGAGTCTTGACTCCTAGTTTTCTTTGGACCATATCTAGCACTAAGTAACTATACTAGCTTTGTTATTCTTTCATCATTTCCTTGAGAATAAATCATATTTCTATTTTATGTATATGGTCTCACTGTGTGCATTTGCCAGTCACCTCATATCAGAAGGCCAGAGAGGTAGTCAATCCAGCATAGATTAACATACGACCCCTGACATTCTGTACCATGGAAACCCACCCTATGAAGTCATGTGTGATTCCAACATGGGGGGAGAATGTGGGGCCGGGCAGCTGAGCTGTGTGTATCCTACAGGGTTAATCTGACAGTGAATTGACGTTTGCTTTGAAATACAAATATGAATGTTTTAACTTTGTGACCTTGGGCAAGTTTTGTGGCCTTGGACAGTATATGTATAAGACGGATAATGAGAGTAGCCAGCCTGTGGATTTTGTGATGAATGTGTAAATTCTATCAAATTCAGTAGAAAAAATATTGGACTCCCTCCATATTCTGAGCATGTTGGGAGATGTTGGGAGTACAGTAAGGAGAAATAAAGTTCCCGCCCCTGAAGGATTTCCAGTCTCCCGAGGAAGCAGACAACACAGATGAGCAACAAGTTCTTATAGAGGCTGACGGTTGAGAAACAAGGCACTGGCTTCTACAGCCTCCCAGTGGGTTGCCCCTCCCCCATCCTTGCGCCTTCCAGAACCCTCCATGGGTCCAGAAGGAATTACTAAGTCCTAGAAGACGGCCGTAAAGTTCTACCCACGCTGTGGGTGCCTCTCCAAGGCATTTCCTACCACCTCCCTGCATGGGTTTGTGTATTTTGTCCCAGCCATAGTGAGCTCATTGGCACTTAGTGAGCACACCAAGTAGGTCTGCCTCAGGGTCTAACTCAGATCTCTGTGTGGATCGTTTCCCCCCAGCATCCCGATATGGCTCACCTCTCCCATCATTCAGGTGTCTGCTCACAACCCCTCTGTTGGTGAGGTCTCTCCAGAAGATCCCATCTAAAGTGTACCTTCCCACCCCCCACCACTGTCTATTCCTCTACCCTACTTTATTTTCCACCATAGCTCTTTTTAACATAGACACACATTATAACGGTAAATTTTATGTGTCAACTTGGTTAGGCCCTGGTACCCAGATATTTGGTCAAACGTTATCTTAGATGGTTGCTGTGAAGGTGTTTTTTTTTTTTTTTTTAACATGAGATTAACATGTAAATTGGTAGACTACACAAAGCAGATTGTCCTCCATAATGTGGGTGGGCCTCATCCAATCAGTTGAAGGCCTTAACAGAAAAACATTAACCTACCCCAAAAAAGGAATTCAGCTAGCAGACTGCCTTTGGACTGGAACTGCAACATCAATTGTTCCCGAGGTCTCCAGCCTGCTAGCCTACCCTAGCAACTTTGGACTTGCCAGTCTCTACATCACATAAGCCAATTCTTAAAGTAACTCTGTATAAATACATATTTATATTTACCTATCAATATCTACCTATCTGTACACACATATTCATTCTATTGGTCCTGTTTCTCTGGAGAACCCAGACTAATATCTATTATTTGTCTGCCTGGACCAAAAGGCACACTCCATGAGAGCAGGGACTTTTATCACTACCTTTGGCCCTCACTGCATTTTTATTGAAGTAGGCAAGAATTTCAGGTTTGAAAAGATGCTATTAAAGGAAATAAGCAGGGTGATAAAAGCTGATAAAAGCCAAAGATTAGTTCGAAAATTTCCTTCTTGTACTCGGTTAAGTGGTATTCCTTTCCACGCCCCCAAATTCATGTGTTTCTGGCAACTGAGAGTGTGATCTTATTTGGAAATAGGGTCCAATGGTCTCATATAATTGAGATGAGACCATTGGATGGCGAGCTGTCATCAGTAAGCAGTGTCTTTACGAGAAGAGAAAAGGGGGCGACTGGGTGCCTCAGTTGGTTAAGTGTGCGACTCTTGATTTCAGGTCATGATCTCAGGGTTGTGAGATGGGGCTCCTCCTCGGGCTCCACACTGGGCGTGGGGCCTGCTTGAGATCCTCTCCTTCTCCCTCTCACGTCCCTCCCCACCCCCAACTTGTGCTCTCATGCTCTCAAAAAAAAAAAAGACACAGAAAGGAGAGTAACACATGAAGACAGAGACACGCAGACATAAAGGCAGAGCAGCCTGTGATGTTCGAGGCAGCAACCCCAAGGCTGGCGGGTCACCATGAGAACCTACAGAGAGGGGATGCCTGGATGGCTCAGTGGTTGAGCGCATCTCCCTTTGGCTCAGGGCATGATTCTGGGGTCCTGAGATCGAGTCCCATGTCGGGCTCCTGCAGGGAGCCTGCTTCTCCCTCTGCCTGTGTCTCTGTCTCTGTCTCTGTCTCTCTCTCTCTGTGTGTGTCTTTCATGAATAAATAAAATGTTTTTTTTTTTTTTTTAAAAAGGACCTGCAGAGAGGCATGGACGGCTTGTCTCGCACAGCTTCCGGAAGACACGGCCCCTGCTGACACCTCTGTGACACCCAGCGCCCAGACCTGTGAGGCACGACATCGCCGTTGTTTCAGCCCCCACACGTGCTGCTCCACTTGGGCCTGAGGAAGTGAGCGCCCCCCAACCTCCCACCCATGCCGATCCTGAGCCTCGCAGTTCAGATGAGGCTGCCCCCGCGGTCCCCTGGCAGAGATGCCCTGCACTGCGCCCCCCGGCCCGCTGAGCTCAGGCCCCCCACGGCCACCCTGTAACCTTGCAGCCACGAGTGAGCAGGTGATGGAAGTCTGGCTGGGGTTGCAGTTTCAGAAGCACAGCAAGCTTCTTCAAAACCTGAGGGTCGGGGAGGAAACTAGCTTCCAGTTGTGCCGGAATCAAGACCCCAGTGTAGGGGGTGAGAAGCCAGTCGCCTGGATGGGCCGTCCGGAGGCTGTGAGGAGCACTGGTATCCCTGCTCTTGGTTTGCAAGCTGCTTTTTTTTTTTTTTAAAGATTTTATTTGTTCATTCGTTCATGAGACACACAGAGAGAGGCAGAGACATAGGCAGAGAGAGAAGCAGGCTCCATGCAGGGAGCCCGATGCGGTACTCGATCCCAGGACCCCGGGATCATGACCTGAGCCGAAGGCAGGAGCCCAGCCACTGAGCCACCCGGGTGGCCCCTCAAGCTGCTTTTCAAACTAAGGCTGGAGATATTACATATGAAGCCATCTCACAGATTTCCAATAGTTATTTCACCCACGGGATGCGTGAAGCCTTCTCTGCATGGGCTGGGCACCTAGAGTGGCTGTGGGATGGGTGCTGCTGGGTGCTGGGTGCTACTCTGGGAGGGCGGGCCGGGGAGCGCGGCGGTCCTGCTGGCCTGAGCTGTGGCTGGCTCTTGAAGCACGTGTCCCTCCCAGGGCTAATCACAGTCTGTAATTGAATCTTTTCCTGATTAATTGATTTGCCTGGGAGGATCCCGCTCTGTTTCGCCAGAGATCCCCAGGAGGGCGGGGATTAGGACTTTCTGGTTCCTTGTTGTGTCTGCAGCACAGAGCACAGGATGTAGCTTACAACAAGCATCGGATAAATATTTGCTGAATGGAAACGAGATGTAGAAATCTAGGCCAACCTCAGGATGTTGAAGGCACCCCCCGCTGGTGAGCGCTGGAAGTCCCTTAGAGGTATCCTCCCTTTCGATTACACCACTCCACCTCCCCTATGGCCTAAGTGATGACAATTCGCTTTTTCTTGTCTTCACATAGGGGACTTCGGCTACCAACTCAAGGGACTTCCTCCCTACCCCCTCTCTTTTAGGTAGTCAACTTTTATTTTTCTCCTCTGAAGGCAGCCTTATGTGGAATTCTAACCCAGAACCAACTGAGAAGTGAGTTGCTCACAGTACAAAAGGAGCAGGGCGCAGGACCCTCACAGGCCTCTCCAATGATCCCCCTAGAGTTCCGGTTTGAAGAGCCCACCTGGGGGGGGGGAGTGGTTCCCCAGAGCATTCTCCCCAGCTGGACACATGGGCCTTTTGACCTTGACTCAGACTCAGATGTTCGGTCCACACTCAGACCCCAGGAGGTGGCCCACCGGCAATGCGTTTTCCAGCTCTTGGGAGAGATGTCTCCATCTCCTTGTACTCATCTCATAAAGACAGAGACCAAGAGTCAGGACAAAACACAGGACAACCACATAAGAAAAATAACTTTGTTATTAAGCATATATAATCTCATCAAAAGTACTTCATAGTATCACATCCATAACTGTTTGAATATTAGCTCAACTGTGATATGGACCTGTTATAAATAATGAACCCAGCTACTTCAGTATAGGACAAGTCGCTGCAAAATAACAGTCGTGACACACACAGAATCCTCTAGGGCACATGCTTTCGGGATCTCATAAAGAATGCTGAGGGTCTCTGGGGGATGTGTAAAAGGCTCTTTCGTCTATGCCTTCCCTAAAGCCGTCATTTTTTTTTTTGAAGGAACTAGTGAAGTATAAGATTTTATGCTTTAACAATTCCAGTCATGTTTTTTTTTTTTTTTTGCTTCAAATGGAAAATTATTTTTTGATTTGTTGGGAAATATACACGCTGAGCATGCCAGGAAAAACTTCATCTCTTTCCCTGAATTTATTATTAATAACTTGAGATGGCTCTATTCTATTAGTTGTTTGGCCTGGATTCCTATGAATAAATTTCCTCTTCAGGAAGGTTATCTGAAAGATGTCAAGGTTGCACAATGAGGCTGCTGTCTCTCTGTGACAGGCCAGCCTTTGGGGAGAGGGGGAGGGATGCCCAAAGTATGACAAGGAATTTGCTCTCGGTGCAAGGAGATGCCTGGTGCCTAGTCACGGCGATGATCTTCCCTGCCTGCCTGGAGAAAGCCATCATAAGGCAAAGAGTAGTTGTGAATCCTGGAGAGGGAAGTATGATCAGAGCCAGGGTGCCCTTCACCTGGTGTTTGGTGGGGTAATACCCCTGCCCCCGTGCCAATGCACATTTGTTATGTGTACCTGTTAGGCTATGGGCCTACGTTTATACAGTAGAAATGACTTCAGCCGGTCAGTTCACTCAGTGGCGGGTGTTGGAATGAACACAGGACCAAGAAGACAGCATTCCCTTTGTACCCCCAAACTTTTTGGCATAGTAAAGCTTATAATTTCTCCTTCTGGAAATGGGGATGGAGGAGGATTTTCCTAAACGAAAACGGATGCCCTCCTTGCACTATTTTCAATAGCATATTTTTTATTCCCACAGCTTTCTAAAAAAAAAAAAAAGAGCAATTATGAGGTCTTATTTTAGATTCTATTTATCAGGGTGCGAAAAAAAATGAAAGCCAATATTTCTGCTAAAGGGCTGAGGAGATGTGCAAAGATCTTTTTTCTCCCCATAAAACATGGTGCAGCTTAGCAAAGCTGTGGCAAATTTTATTCCCCATTAGGTTCTGAGAAGCACTGTTTAGACAGTGAGCTTTGACGTCCTATCTGTCACTAAAAGATACATGAGGATTAACAGTGATTTTGCCTTATCTTCGAAAAGTATAATCTGGGCTTATAGGGTACCTACTTGTTCCTGGGTAGCAGTCCAAGGTTTGAGAATCTCGGGATGAACAATTATAAACTGACCTGATCTAGCAGATGGAAAGTATATAATACAGGTTATTATCTGTTTTGCTGGAAAATAGCATATAGAATAGGCTCATGAATCCCAGATATTACTTCCTTCAGTTCCTTTTAAAATATATTATCCTAGTCTCTGGTCAAACATGCAGTTTGGCTGCATTTTATGAGCATGTGACAATAAAGAAGTTTGTATTTCTAAACACAAATCCTCATTAAAAAAAAAATCAAAGATGGACCTAATTATTTCTCCTAAGGCCTGTAAATAATTTTCTTTAGCACTCATCCATCCACACCCTTTAAATATTGTGTTCTGCAAACAGGCAATGTTAAATGCATTCCAGATGGGAATCAACAGCTGCTTAGCTCAGCTCTCAGTGAACCCGAGGTTGGTAGAGCTTTTGCGGTGAAGACTGGACTCTGGAGAGACGGAAGGTGGAGGGAAAATGCTAGAAAAGGAATGCTGAGAATGCGTTTGCTTGTTCCTGTGACTTTCTGGCAGACTGGCCCTGGGGATTTTGCAAGAGGAAGAAACAGTGGAGCAAAGGGTCTGCGAAAAACCCAGCCAGTGGCTGACTGGCTATGCTTCTACCTTGATGGCAATAAGGGACGGCAGGCTGTTGTCATGGGAGACTCACAAACAGAAGTCCTTCCTCTGGTTCTAGAGAAAGAAGATTGAAAGGTGGCACACGCTCACCCACAGTGGCTCTCCTCAACAAGCTTTCCCAGGAGGAGAGTTAAATGACGGGCAAAATGGAAAAAGAGAAGTAAACACACATGTCCCAGAAATATGGGGAGAAACCGCAGGGTGAGGAAGAGGAGCCCCACCATGAGCAAGCATGAGTGTGACAATGATCATCCGTGAGGCTCAAGACAGAGGGGAGGGCTGCCGAACAGGTGGCTGCCTTTCTGGGTGGCAGATGCCAATGTGGATTCAAGGAAAACTGTGCAATCCCCATCAAAACCAAGAGATTCCCCAACAATATTCCAAAAGAGTGGATGCTCTTGCTCATTTCTTCGGGGGTTACTCTTGGTCCTGTTTCTACAGAACCAGAGGAAGTCTTTTCTGGAATATGCTCCCCTCTGGGACCCAGAGGTGTATGGGCAACCACAGACTCAACAGAAGTTTGAGAATACAAGCCTCTCCCGGCTGTTTCCCACCTCTGCTGAGGAAGGAGGATCCAGGAGAAGGCCTGTGAGAACGAAAACTTGGACTGAATGATGGAAAACTGGGGAAAAATGGGAATAGTGGGAAGGAAATTTCTGGCAACCAAGAAAAATTGTTATTTCTGTCTGCCTCCAAGAGAACTTCCAGTGGAGCATACTCTCTGTGTTGGCAAGCTCCGCTGGCCCCAGACAAGGGCTTCCAATTCCCAAGGAGAGCAGATTGACTTGCCTCTACAGAGTCCTTCGGGAACCTGCCCCAGGCTCTGCTTCTCCCTCCCCGACTGCCTCCTTCCAGCCTCCAGTGCACGTTGATCTAACCAGGATCATGGCCTAATGGCACCTTCTGGGCACCCAGGCAGATCCAGGCCATTCAGCGCATCTCCCTATGTGTCAACCACTCTTATTTAACCATCGGTGATTTACTGAGCGAGCCCACTCATGGGATCAAGTAGCTTTAAACCGTCCTGGCAAACCAGGAGCCCGTCATTCTAGAGGGGATCTGGGCACTTCATTCGTTTGCTCTGAGAAGAGGATTTACTCCTACAGCTAGAGTAACACTCTTCTCTGAATAGGAAACTTACAGAACCACACGGCCCAAACCCATAATAGTCATATTTGAATGTAGAATGTGGCAACTTTACAGGAGAGTAAATAGAGGACTATAATTTTTCTCCCTCTTCCCTAATCCCTGCTCCTCCTCATTTCCCTCCTTCCTTTAATCAAAATTGGTAAACAAAGTTGGACAGGAGGATAGACTATTTAAAATACATTAGATTGACAAGGAAAAAATATCTGCCAAGGTCAGATATACATGGTTGTTTTCCCCCTTTTAATTAAAGAAGCCTAATTTTGATACTGACTAGTAGTCTAGTTTGGACACATACTTTTTTTTTTTTTTTTAATAAGTAACCTCACCTCTTCTCAGAGCTCACCTTGCCACTTTTCCCCTTTTGGACCTTTAAGACCCCATGAGGGCCACTTAACTCAGAAATCCAGAAATTCCTAAATAAGAAGTAAAAGGAGTCTTCAAATGTAGGATCCCTCAGCCCTCTGCCCCCCTAACTGTCTCTCGGAGGGAAGTGTGTAAATTAGTGACTGACTCCCTCAGGTCTCTTGCAGGCGACTCTGAGAACAGTATTTGGAAGAAGAGCAGGAGGGAGAAGGCAGGAAAAGAGTAAAGAGATGAAAGATGTATCTTTTCTGGGTCTCCAGTGGGTTTTTTTTTTCTGTATATGATTTAACTGCAGGTGAAAACACTCCTTTTCCTCTCCTCTGGCGTGACGGATGATGGGATGTGCTAAGGATAAAAGTCTCTGGTGGGTCCCAAGTCCCTTGTCTCCGTTCTTTTCGGGTACTCGTCTCCAGAGCCGAAGTCCATGGTTTCTGGATAGTTGGAAAACTTCTGAGGTAAAGGGAACTCCTCTGCTGAAGAGTGTGTCCGGTGCCCAAACACTTTCTCCTGCAGCTCAGCGATGTCATTGCGGATGTCAGCCAGCATAAGTAGCAGGAAGTCGAAAGAACCAGGGGGTCCCTGTGCACATGAGAGGAGTCAAAGCCAGAAGACCACAGACTCAGTGCCGTGCAAAGCCATGGCTTCTATGGGCACCATGATTTGCTACTCTCCCTGGCTCGATGGCAACTATTTAGTTGATAACCCTGCGTCCTAAGTGGAGTAAACGTAACACCTACTATAGTAGCCAGGGTGGGGAGGGGGGTGGTGTTCTTAAGATTGTCTTCTAATTCCTTCATCTTCTATATGAGCTGAAGTGACACATCATCTCTCCTCCCTCCTAATTCTCAGCTACATCAAATCTGGTAGAATTAAAGAATATGAGAAGAACCCTCCCACATTACTCTCCTTAAGAAAATGGGGGAGAGACTTATGGAGGTGCAGAGTAGTGGTTAAGAGGTTGGGATTCTGTTGGGTTTGAATCTCAACTCTGTCGTTTACTAGCTGGTCTTGGGCAAGTCACTCAATTTTTTGGGTTTCCATCTCCCTATCTGTAGAATGGAGATAATAGCCCCAACATCATAGGGTTTCATAAGTGAATATTTAAATGAGTTAACGTATATTAAAGGCCTACAGCAACATAAATGCTCAAATAGACTCATGGCCTGCTGGTTTTTGTTTTTGTTTAATCCTAACAGAAGATCTTCCATGTAAAGATTAACATGGGGGGGGGGGGGACAACCAACCAAAAACCCAGAAAACAAATTTTAAAAATAAATCCCAACCAGTTCTTAAAGTCCTCCATGATTTTCCTAACCATGGAATTCGACTTGGGCAGGATGAGTGATGGTTAGAAGGGGCTGGCTGTTGCTGGTAAGACCCACTTATAGGCTTATCAGAGCTACATCCCTGAGGACATTCCCCTGAGGGAGCGGGGGAGCGGGGCAGATAGTGCTACTTACTGGCGACCCTCTGGGTCCAGGTGCCCCTCTCTCTCCCTGCAAGCAGAAAGGTCGGATTAGCTTTGTGGACCATGTTGGATGCCACTACCACTCTCTATTTAGACCCCCAGCATCACCATTGCCCTGCACAAACAAGTATTTTCTATCAGAAACAAATACAAGCTTGAAGCTGGACTCAAGGGACCATTTATCTGAACAGAACCACTTGGGTCAAGTGTCTCTCATTCCGATGTCCCCCAGGGCCACGTATTTTCAGTCCAGATCTGACAAAAGGAATGCTTGTATTTCCAGGCAACGTGTGCAATAACTTACAAACTTTCGAAAGTAATGCACGCTGACTTATCTGAGAGGCGAGTAGTGGGCAGCTCTTGAAGTGAAACTATCCACTTGCTGAACATGGAGCTTTTCCTGGTCTTGATGCAAACGTGTTAAAGGAGTGGGGACACACACCACAGCCCTACAGGAGAACACTGCTGCACGGAGGCTTGTTTAAAATTTATGGGGGTTGTTCATTCCTAGAAGTGGTTTTGATGGTTGTTTTTGTAATTACGGTTATTTACATCTTAGCTTTTCTTTCCTGCTTGGGGGAAAAAGTGTCTCAATTTTGCAAGGCACAAAATGGGGGTAGTAAACAGTGCTTGAGCTTTATGTGATGCCTGCCGAGTTGGCTGCAATTAGTAATACTTGGGCTGTAAGGACCACTCTAAGACTTACCTTAGAGCCATCTCTTCCTGGTGCACCTGGCGGACCCTACAAGATAAAGGGATCTAGCTCAACAGAAGGAAAAGGCATGGGACAAGAAGAGGCTTTCCTCAACAACAGTAAGTGGATCTCCGACAAAATACTGACCACGGGGCCCCTCCGGCCTTGCTTAATGTGAGACAGATCGGGAGATGGTCCCATGGGTCCCATTGAGCCCCGTGGGCCGGGCTGTCCAGGAGGGCCTGGCATTCCGGGGAAACCCGGGCTCCCCTTTGGTCCTGGTGAGCCTGTAATCAAAGAACATCTCATTAGCTCCGTATCCCGTGAGGAGGATGAAGGCTCTGGCTGACCAAAGAGTCTGGGAGCCCTTTGCAGCCTTTCTCTTTGCAGTCTGCCCTTTGCCTTCTGACATCTCTACTAAGATGCCCTATAAGCATTTTAAAACTTAACATGATCAGAATTCTCCATCCTTATATAATCATTGCAGACCACATTTCTCCAAAAATATCTCAATCCTCTTCTCTGTAAGAGAATTAACAGCATACTATACAAATAATGTGTGTATATAATAGATACAGATATATACATTAGCTATATATCAAATACAGATGTATATAACCATATCCATATACATACCACATAAACTCCATACGGGTTTCTGTAGTCGTTTATGGATACCATTGTCCTCTGAATATCCTAACACTTAAAAATTGCGGAGATTTCATACAGAAATCTGGACAATGGCATCTGTTTGAAAACAGGAAGAACTAAAGCCAGAACTAAATCCCAGATACATCTTCCCATTGGCATGATGGGTTAGCTTTCTCTCCACTGCTTACACCCCGAGTCTTCATTCATCTGAGCCGCCTGCCTGGGCCCTATAGACATTGTGGGTTTTTTTTTTTAATTTCTTCTCCGAAGCCTAAAGTGACAGAGCACTGGGAGTCTCCTGAGCTTAAGACCAAGCTATAGGACTGCTCTTGTGCCTGCTTGATAAGGTATGTGTGCCAGATGGTGCCATATTTACTATGGAAACTGATGGGGAAGGCCTACAGTGCTCATCTACCTTTAACTACAGACATGGAGAACTGTAAATAGTCACTCTGGCTTGGGCTGGGCTTGTGGTGGGGGGTAGTGTCTGGCACACGGTGAGGGAATGCCTCGCCGGCTCCTGGGGAGCATAGGTGCTAAGCTGTGGGGCAGCCCCTTGGTGCAGGCTTCAGGATGTTGGCTTCTACATTAGGTCTGGAATGTCAGCTGGGGCAGGGGGATGAGGGAGAAGGAGGTGAGCATTAGGAGAATATTTTATTATTGTAGTAAATGACACATAATATAAAAGTTACCATTTTGACAACTTGAAGATGTACTGTTTAGTAAAGTACATTCACCTTGTTGTGCAATAGATCTTTAGGACTTTTTCATCTTGCAAAGCTAAAACTCTGTACCTACTAAACAACAGTTCCTCATTTCCCCTTCCCCAGCCACTGGCAACTACCACTCTACTTCTGGTCTCTATGAACGTGACTGCTTTGGATACCTCCTATTAGTAGAATCATATGGCATTTGTCTTTTTTGTGACTGGTTTATTTCACTTAGCATGATGTCCCCCAAGTTCCTCCATGTTATAGCACGCAACAAGATTTCCTTCTTTTTAAGGCTGCATAATATTCCACTGCTGTATATAGCACATTTTGTTTGTCCATTCATCCACTGATGGACATGGGTAGCTTGGCGATTGTGAGTAGTGTTGCCACATATACAGGTACGCAAACATCTCTTTGTTCTCTTGCTTTTGATTCTTTTGGATACTATGCCCACATGTGGACTGCTGGATCATATTAGTTCCACTTTTAATTTTTTTTTAGAAAAAATACTCCATACTGTTTTCCATAGTGGCTGCACCAGTTTGCATTCCCGCCAACATGGTGCAAGGGGCCTCTTTTCTCCACAATTCCCACCAACACTTATTCTCTTCTTTTCTTGATAGTGGCTGTCCTAATGGATGCAAAGTGATACCTTATAGCTAGGTTTGCATTGCTCTATGAGGAGTGATGTTGAGCATCTTTTCATGTGCTTCTTGGCCATTTGTATATCATCTTCAGAGAAATGTCTATTCAAGTCCTTTGTCTAATTTTATTTTGAGTTGATTTTTTTATTGCTGAGTTGTAGTGTTTTTATCTCCTATTCTGGATATTAACTCCTTATCAGATAAATGATTTGCAAATATTTTTCCCCCTTCCATAGACTGCCTTTCACTCTGCTGATTGTACCCTTGGACGTACAGTTTTTAAGTCTGATGTAGTCCCCTTTGTCTATTTTTACTTTTGTCATCTGTGTGTTGATGTCATACCTAAGAAATCTTTGCCAAATCCAGCATCATGAAGCTTTTCTCCTATGTTTTCTTCTAGGAATTCTATAGTCTCAGATCTTACATTTAGATCTTTAATCCATTTTAATTTTTGTATATGGTGTGAGAGAAGGGTCCAACTTCATTCTTTTGCATATGTAACAACATGAGTTTTGACCTGTTTTCAACTGTCAACTTTGTGAGGGCATGGGCCACATCCTAATCGTCTGCACATCTGCAGAATCCCAGATACATACATGCTCTTCAGAAAATGTTTCACATCAAGTGAGCACACTGAAGACAGTGGCTGATTGCTGTGCTAGAATTATTTGCCAGTGATGCTTATTTCAAATGCATACAGTAATACTATCTAGCTCCTACTAGTGACAGAACAGAGTAATTTTCAGGCGTCAGAAAACAGAAAAGTCAAATCAAGGAAACAAAGATTTCTGATCTTTCATATTTGGGGAAATCTATTATAGCTCACAGAAAAATTAAACCAAAGTTAAAGACAGTCAATGTTCTATGAAAACATGTTTTACATCCTTACTCTCAATGCTGGTTCCAGGCACATCCTGAAAGAGTTTACCTGGGAAAGGGGATCAGATTCCTCCTATAACTAAATCCTTCCCCTCCAGTAGCACAAGGACAGGACAGAGAGAACATTTTGTCTTCATTTACACAATCAATGAACTTCAGGATCATTGTATGTCAAGTGTCCTTAGAATGTGGGGTTTTGATATGCAAATTGAATCAGTTTATCCATAACAGTAGGCGCCAGGGAGCAGCAGCCACCTTGTCACCACCAAAGCCAAAGGATTCCAACCCAGTGTAGTTTCCAATGTTGGCACTCCAGTCTTGGATTAAGCCCTGGGACTGGACTTTTGGTTATGGATAAGAGAAATCTAGTTATCTCTCTAGCTGCCCAAAAACATCTCAATGGAGGACATGATAAACTGGTGCTGGAATTTAGGAGAGAGAAAGAAAGGATTGGAAGACAAAGTAAGGGCACAGTCTGTTGCCAAAGTTAGTACTCTTATTCTCTGCTCCATCAAGGACCCTGGACAGCTCAAACTATGTTAGAAACCAGATGGCAGAATTGGAAAGGAAAGCTAGCAAGTCATTCATTAAGAAGAAATACAGCCAATGGTACCCTTGTTTCTACTTCATTTGTCCCTGTTGGGAGTGATTTGTAGACTGGCCTGCAGATGAACTTCATCCAGGGAAGCAGAGCAAGAACATACTCTTAGAAAATGGTGGGGGAACTCTGTGTTGGGAATCAATTTGTAAGGAGATCTACATCTACTTAGAAGCAGCAAGAGGCTGCCTGTGGGAGGCATCTGGAGAAAACTCCACCAAGGCCCAGGAAACGAACAAGAGGATCAACTAAGGTCCTGGACCAGTTCTTGTTCCCTGTATAGACTGAGACCCAGGGCACCTATGTTTGGTAGAAACCAGGAGATTAAGATATAAGTGAAAAAGAAAACAAATAACTAGTCTGGAATGAATTTGGAGACTTTGTTCTTGTTGAACTTCCAATCTAAAATCTTCCCATATTCTTCCTGCTTGAACAAACCCTACCACTCTTCCAAGTCCATGTCAAACCCTAGTCCTGGGATCACTGTCCGCCAGAGTGGTCTCCCTTCTGTAAGCTCTCACAGCAGAAAGCACCTGTGCACTTACTTAGGGGCATACAGATACCATCTTATTCTATTGGCTTTTACTCTTTGTGCCTTCTCTTTCTCATTAGAAGGCGAGGGGGATCCCTGGGTGGCTCTGTGGTTTAGCATTGCCTTTGGCCCAGGGCGTGATCCTGGAGTCCCACATCGGGCTCCCTGCATGGAGCCTGCTTCTCCCTCTGCCTGTGTCTCTGCCTCTCTCTCTGTCTCTGTGTCTCTCATGAATAAATAAAGAAATCTTTAAAAAAATTTTAGAAGGCGAGGTCATTCAGAACACCTAGTATACCACTTAGCAATGATAATCAGGGATAAGATACTCCATGTTCTAGAATCATCTGCTGACACTAATATCATTTCCTTTACTGATGTGGATAAGAGTCTGTTGATCAATCTATGGAGAGGGACTCATAATAAAATAGAAAATATCATGTAACTATATTTTAAAGTTCTCATTGTGTATTTCCTGATGGAACAATAGGACATTTGGGATTTTCTTCAAGGGATGAGGGTGAATCTCTAAAATAATATGTTGAATACAAAAAGCCAGACAAAAAGAAAACCTATGATGAGATTCCATTGCTCTGAAGTTCTAGAACAGATAAAAGTAGTTAGAAAGCAGGTCAGTGGTTCTCTACAGTTAGAAGCAGAGAAGTACATTGCAAAGGGGCACAGGGAACTTTCTGGGGTAATGGAACTATTCTATATCTTGATGTAGATATACGGCAGTGGTTAGAATGGGCTTGATATACGACGTATATATTCGTCAGAACTTGTTGAACTGTGATTTAAAGGGGGTACGTTTCACTGTATTTAATTTTATCTCAATAACGCTGACTTAACAAAGAAAAATATATAAAGAAATACAGATGTGAGTGTGTTCACAAATAATAGGGGAAGGAGGAAATAAGATTGAGGAATAAGCAGAAACAAGGCTGGCCATAAGTGGTTACAGCTGGCTGATGTACCCTGGGGGTTCCTCACCCAGTTCTATTTTTGTATGTTACCATTAAAAATAAGTCTTCATTTTGTTTCTCAGTAACTTAAAATGTTAAAAATCTTACCCATGCCCAGGACAATGACCTCCTTCTTCCAGATTTCTCCTGGTTATGAGGGCTTTTTAGGCTTGGGGACCCAATTCCCCCAGGCTTCTCATAACATAGGTGTGGGAGCCCCCTGGATTCCTGTGGCTGCCCTCACCCACGGAGGCTGAACTTGGTCCAGCCCGCGCTCATATGAGCTCCCGGCAGGCTTTGGCTGGTGGCTCTGTCACCATCCTCTGCCCTCCTCCCCACTCACCAGGAGGGCCTTGGCCACCAGGCAGCCCAGGGGGTCCCGGAAGGTAGGCGTTTGAGGCCAGCACCTTGTTGCCAGTGATGTACTTGCCTAGGTCGGCAGCACTGTTGGGGAGCAGGGCAATCTGTAAAGAGAAAGGGATCCACGGTCAGGAAGGGATGACTCCAGTGCCAGGGAGATTTGTTCGCATCTCTGTGTCTGCAGAGCCTGCAAATTCTTTTTGTGGTAATTTCCCCTCCCTCTGAGCCTGTTAGAACTCAAAGGAGCTGTAGAAATCCCCTTCCAAATCCAGAGGCCTTCCAGTGAAAATCACTTGTATGAGATCACTTGGCTGGTTAGTGGACAAACCTGGGTAGCCTCCAGATAGTCCAGACATCATCATTACTCATTATTACCATAATGGATAGATTCTGTTTGTTTCAGACTTTCAATGTGTTAATTACTTTATTTAGTACTTACCCTGTGCCAGGCCCTGTGCTTGGTTCTAAGGTGACAATGGTGCTCAACACATGGTCCCTGCTCTTAGACGCCCCTCAGCCTTGGGAGCCAGGGCCAAGAATTTGGCTTATGGTTCATCTAGACACTCAGCTGGTGGGGATCCAGTAGAAAACAGTGACCGTCATGGAAAAATACGCCCGCAAAGTTTTTGACAGTCCTACCTTCAAAAGGTGGAGGCTAACTTCCACCCTCTGAGTGTGAGCTGTACTTACAGACTCACCTCCAGTAACTAGAAAATGATGGAAGTGATAGTGCGTAACTTCTGCGACGAGGGCATAAAAGGCACCATGGCTTCCTCTTTACTTTCCCTCCTGGGTTGCAGGTAGCTCACTCTAGGGGAAGCTGGAGGGGCCACCCAGACAAATAACCTTCACATTCCTTGAGGTCAGGGATGCTGTGTGAATCTTATGGGTGAGCTGAATATTATGAATCTCCACTTCCTCACCAATAAAAGGGAACATCACCAGCCACCTTTACAGTTGTGGAGATTTAATGGGAAACCATAGATATGGTTTGTGTTATGGTGTGTAACCACCATAGTGAGGGTTACACACCATCACTTCCATCATTTTCTAGTTACTGGAGGTGAGTCTACGCACAGCTCACACTCGGAGACTGGAAATTAGCCTCCACCTTTTGAGTGTAGGGCTGGCATTGCGGACATATTTTTCCATGATGGTCACTGTTTCTTACTGGATCCTGTAGGTTAGGTGCCCAGGACAGGACCTGGGACATACTAAGTGGTTCAATAAATGGTAGTTGCAGTCTCTTTCTTTCAAGAAGCTAATTTGAAAAGTGCCAAGTCAGGTGGGGAAAGGCACATTTCTGAGGGTCACAGCTACACCTTCCAGAAGACTTAGGCTGGATCCTGGAGTTCAGTAAAAACCAAGTCTCTGAGATTTTCTGGAACATGTTCTACTTGTCCCCACATCCTCTTGGAGGGGCCCTGCTTGGAAACCCTGTGCACACAGAGCAACAGAGGCCTGGAGAAGGCACATGGCAAAGCTCATCCCTAGCCTTAGAATGTTCTGATGCCAGACAGCCATCTCTGGATCTGAGAGATCAAGCCTGGAAGATGAGACCTGCACGTTCAGCTCTCTCTACTCCCTTAGAAAAGCTGTCAGGTGATCCAGTAAATGTCAACCTCTGTTTCCTGGATGACTTGCTGCTGGGTAATTACAACCCGGCTCCCTTCAGTTCCTCTACACATCAGCAGGATGAGTGGAAAGTAAAGGTCCTACTGTTTTGGAGGCAGGTCGCCAGGGTCCCTGTCTTGACTTGCTGCATAAAATACAGCAGAGGATGGGCTTGGGGGATGCAGGTATTTGTGAAGATCATAGTAAAATAGGAAGGGTCTACATTTCTCCTAGATTCCAATTGATAGAATCATGAATATCATTATCTTTTTTTTTTTTTTAAGATTTATTCATGAGAGACACAGAGTGAGAGCGACAGGCAGAGACACAGGCAGAGGAGAAGCAGGCTCCATGCAGGGAGCCCGACGTGGGACTCGATCCTGGGTCTCCAGGATCACGCCCTGAGCTGCAGGCGGCACCAAACTGCTGCACCACTGGGGCTGCCCGAATATCATTATCTTATATGAGCTTTCCTAATAAAGTATCTACCTCATAGAGTTGTTGGTACAAATCAAGTAGATGCTGCCTGTAAAGCACTTTGTACGGACATATAATTAATGTTATTTAGGGGCACCTGGGTGGCTCAGTTAAGCCTCCAACTCTTGGTTTGGGCTCAGGTCATGATCTCAGGGTTGAGAGATTGAGCTCCACATCAGGCTCTGCACTCAGGGGGAGTCTGCTTAAGATTCTCTTTGTCTAAAAAAAAAAAAAAAAAAAAAAGATTCTCTTTGTCTGCCCCTGCCCCCATGCTCTGCTTGAAATCCTCTCCCTCTGCCCCTCCCCCATGTTCACTGGTGTGCTCTCTCAAATCTTTAAAAAAATGTTACTTGGTAAACATTCAAAGCTCTAAGTATCGAATACTGTTTTAAGACCTTTATAAATGTTAACTCATTTGATCAACATGAAAACAGAAAAAGTATTGTCATCCCCTTTCAATAGGAGGGAGGCACAGAGACATTAAGTCGCTTCCCTAGGGGCATATATCCAACTTGTAGCGGGGCTAGGATTTAAACTTAGCCTATATGGTTCTGGAATCTGTGCTCCTAACTACTACACCAAGTTGCCTTTCAGTGTTACCAGTGATCCTCAGCAAAGCATCCACAGTCACTTTAGAATGGACTAGTCTTCCCAACATCCTGAGGAGGCCCCTTTTGCAGAGCAACTAGATCAAGGTAGCAGAGGAAATCACAAACGATCGTGAAGCCCCTCAATATTTCTTTCACAGAATGTAGATTCAGAATCTACATTCTGTGAAAGCCAGGGAGGCTAAGGGAAAGCCAGATACTGATTTAGTAGCTTCATTTCTGAACAACTCATGAGGTTTAGTAGCACTATTGTAATGATCATCCAGGATGGAAAAAGCTTCCCTATAGCTCCTGGATTTTTAACTCTCCGAGAGAGGAAGCAGAGAGTAGCTTTAGGTCTTGAGATATTGAGCAACTGCCTCCCCTAAACCCTAATCCTCTGGCCTATGAAATGCAAACTTACTTCTTCCATGAACCGTTTTTGGATTTGCTCAGTAAGTATCAATGCAACTTTAACCTGAGGACGTGTGTGGGACGTGTTTATCTCTCTGTGTTCACGCTGCTACACTTACAAAGTGTTCCATCCGTTCCCCTTTTTGGATCACAGACTCCTTAGGATCCTGATTACAGGATACATCTATAGATCTTTGCCAACAACACATGAAAGACCAGTGAGGCCATTCTTCCCCGCCAATCCATCTGCTTGTTTTGCCTGGTAGCTGTGGTTCTCATTAAGGGCTGCTTGAATGTTTGTTGAACATGGAAAAGCAATATTGTCCTGTGCTTACCCTTTGGCCTTTAGAATAACAAAGTCAAGCAGACAATATATCCTCTTTGATGTGCAAAGAGCCTCAGGGAGAAGCAGTTAAGCAAACAAAGCAGTACGTTTATGTTTTATCAGCATAAGAACAATTTCTGAATTGCTGACAAACTGCCAAATTGACTGAACTCAGGTATAGTAAGTACCATCGATCTAGGCCCAGGATAGTTTCAAGAAACCAGGTCCTAGATCCATCACGGGGGCATTACTCACAGCACAACAATGTTACTAGAAATCTGATATTCTCTGAGGCATGTGTGGGAGCCTTTTATAGAGTGGGTCAGTCAGTCCTCATTCTTGTAGACACGAGGTACCCAAACGGCTGCTTTCCAATGTGAAAAATCAAGCTGCTACAGAAGTTTATCATCAGCTTATGGAAGTTTATAGGCAGGACGTCCTCTATTGGAAACATGCTCAAAATGTTAGATGAGACAGAATTGTGTAAGTCTGCCCCAGGACCCTCTGTCTGGACATTCATTTCACCAAAAGTTGCAATAGTCCTAGCTCCTCCTCCCTACGGCTTCACCACGCGCCCCTTGCCTCACAGCCTGTTTTAATAGGTTTTATTTTATTTTATTTTTTTAATTTTTATTTATTTATGACAGTCACACAGATAGAGAGAGAGAGGCAGAGACACAGGCAGAGGGAGAAGCAGGCTCCATGCACTGGGAGCCTGACGTGGGATTCGATCCCGGGTCTCCAGGATCGCGCCCTGGGCCAAAGGCAGGCGCCAAACCGCTGCGCCACCCAGGGATCCCTTAATAGGTTTTAATTAGGTAATCTCCATCCCTTTCCTGCCTTGGTCATCTTGTTGCCCTTTAGATGGCAGCTCTGGGGATCCCTGGGTGGCGCAGCGGTTTAGCGCCTGCCTTTGGCCCAAGGCGCGATCCTGGAGACCCGGGATCGAATCCCACGTCGGGCTCCTGGTGCGTGGAGCCTGCTTCTCCCTCTGCCTGTGTCTCTGTCTCTCTCTCTCTGTGTGTGTGTGTGTGACTATCATAAATAAATAAAAATTTAAAAAAAATTAGATGGCAGCTCTGTGGGTGGGCGGGCAAAATGAAGTTCAGGGCCAAACCTAGCTGGCCCCACCCTCAGTGAAGGCTCAAGGACACTGTGGGCGACAACTCACTTTCTTATTGTTTCTAAGCATCCTTCCTCTTCGTCTCTGTCAACCCCTCCTTTTATGTGACTATCTCTGACAGAGGCTGCACGTACCTTCTGCTTCAGCTGCAGCACCGTCTGCTTCATCTGGTGAAACTCCTTGCAGGTGGCACAGCAGGTTCCAGCTTCCACCGCGTTCTCAGACTTCTCCTCGTGCCCTGCGGGGGGTCGGGGGGTTGGGGGGTGGCTCAAAGTTTGGGAGGCTGGAGGACAGCCCCAGAAAGAGCATCGCAGAGGGCAGTCTGCCGAGGAAGAGGGGGGCACGCGAGGGAGAGAGGCAGGTGATTCTACAGTTCTCAGGTCACTGACCCCACACCCGGGTCAGGGGAGCGACACAGGCACCTCATCTCGGCTCTGGATTCAGCTGTTTCCACTCAGGGACCCCAGTATCTTCCTCTTTCATATGTGAACATGTGAACCGTGGCCCTTTCATCACGGTTTTTCAGAAGGTGGGATCTACTGACCTGACCTGATTTATAGTCCCATCCTAGGGCCAGTGTTCGCCTACTGTAAATTTTCTCCCCGAGCTCAGGCATGGGACTCTGGTGCGGGGCTCACCAAGCTGGTCTCTGACAGCTCTGATAATCCAGTTGTTTAAATTGAGCACAGCCAGGCCAGGTGGGGCCCCAGATCAGGACTGAGCACTGACCCCTCCAGGGAGGTGTGAAGTCAGGAGGGGAAGTGTTCCAGGTACTCTGCACATACCTGTCTGGGGTAAAGTGGGACAGGCACCAGGAGAGGCAGTCTGGCTGTCCACTGAGAGGGCTCCCAATGCTGCCTTGTACAGCAATGGAAACTCCAAGAGCTTTTTTTGTGAGATCACATCTTGCTAAAGAAAGAATGGGTGAGCTTAATGGTAATGTGGCCAACAATTCACACAACTCTCAGCTTACTGGCATGGAAATGGGCTGCATGAGCCTGTGTGCTGGAGAGACTGGGCCCTAGAGCTCCGCTTGCTGAGATGAGCAGGTGCAGACCACCAGGCTATGTGCGAAAGAGGTCAGTGGTGTGAGAGGGAGGATGTGCGAAGGTTTTGTTGTGGTTGGGAAGGACTGTCTGACACCCAGGGATGTATAAGCACGCCGAGCCCAGAAAGCCTTTGGGGTTGGGCTGGGTGTGTGGATAACCACCCTGGCTGTCTGGAATGGAGCTGGGGACAGCTGAGCAATGTCCCTCTATGCCACTTGTCCTTCTTGGCTCATGTGTTTTTCTTATTCCCCCTTTTCTGGGAAGCCCTCTTTGTCTCCATTCATGGAAATCTCTCAGCTATCAAGACCCAGTTCAGACGTTCCACAAAGCCTGTCCTCTCTCTACAGAGATACCGCAGTCCTGACGTCAGGCGACAGTTACCATGTGTCCAAATGGCGGGTGTTCTAAACTTCCCTGGGAAGTGGCTATGCAATATCTGTGAAATAGAGTGTCATAGGTTGAACCGTTTCCCTGCCAAAGTTCGTATGTTGAAGACCCAATCCCCAGGACCTCAGGATGTGACCTTATTCAGAAATAGGGTCATTGCTGATGTAATGAGTTAAGATGAAGTCCTACTCCTATGTTGGGTCCATAATCAATGTGACTGGTATTCCTACAAAAGGAGAGACATCAGGACGTCCATGTGCACCCAGGGAAGATGCCACACGAAGATAAAGGCAGAGATCAAGTAACACAGCAGGAGTCAAGGGATGCCAAGGATTGCTGGCAACCCCACCAGAAGCCAGGAGAGGGCATGGGGCAGATTCTCCTGCACAGCCCTCGGAAGGAACCAACCCTCCCAACACCTGATCTCAGACTCGTAGCCCCCAGAATGGACATGATACGCTTCCGTCCTTTAAGCACCTAGCTGGTGGCAGTCTATGGCAGGCCTAGCAAACTGACGGGTGTGCTGGGCATTAGGACAGCCCCATGCTCACATGAGCCTTCCCCACGCAGCCTGGCTGACTGCCGCTCCAAAGGGGCCCGTCTTCTGCTTGGTGATCTACGTGGGGACTGGTGTTTCTGCTCTTCGGGAGGTGAGGGAGCCTGGGGGCAACTTGGCAACAGAAATTTCTGGCTGTTCACCTGCAGCACAGATGCAGAGCTCACCTGCCACGCCCCATCCCTGCACCTCACGGGAGGCTTGAGGCTTGGAGCACACACGTTGGGAACATCTCTCAAGCCAGCAGGCGCAAGGGTGTGAAGCAGTGCTCCATCTCGAAGTTACTAGAAGCAATAGGGTTGACCTATAGCTTAGATTTTGAGTGAGTAGGAAAGGCACCTAGATCCACGGACAGTGGCAGTCTCTTTTTAAATCTATTTGTACTCGATGTAACAGGGCCACCCCATTAATCCCCACTTCCTAGGCTAACGGTCCTACCAGTGGCTTCCCCATCTACATGTTCTATTGCTACACTTGCGGAGTGATGTTGGCTCAGTGCAGCTGTGTAATATCGGGTTGAATTAGGAGGATAGGGAAAGAATTACTTGGAGGTGGTAAAGTGGAGTGGTTAAGAGCATGGTCTCCTGAGGGTTATTATCCTGGCTACACAGCCCAGAACTTTCACTGACTAGCTCAGGAATCTTGGGCAAGTTATCTGACCTTGATAAGCCCCGATCTCCTCAACCTTAATACTGGAAGAATAATTCCTACTGCACAGGGCTATTGTGTTGATGAAATGAGATAATGCCTGTGAAAGAGTTGGCATGCCACCCGCTAGTCCTATACATGGGACACGGTGCTTGGCACAATCTTCAACCCACCAAGCCCTTTGCAGTCCTTTTGGTTGATAACCCCAGGATCCTTAAAGGAGAGTATTAACAGGAACAGAATGAGGTAAAACTGACATGTGGCAACTTTCTGAAAGTCATCTCACATGCAAGTTGACTGATGTGGGTTTAGGATTGAAGTTTCCTGAATCTGAGTCCAACACCTTTTCCACAAATCAGGCAATTTCCTCTTGGCTCTTTATCCCTGCTTAATGTACCAGTTTATAGTCCTACTTGCCTACAGAGCTTGGACTCACGTGAGGAGGACTAGAGTTATTTAGATCACTCTCGAACATAACAGAGTGACACAAGGGCATTTCTTTGCAAGAGCCCACTTGGTGGTGATGAAGCCTTAGCAACTCTGGGTGTGCTGACGGCAGAGAAGGGTGGACCCCTGTAAATGGAGGACCCTGGCTCCAGGTTTATTACATTTGTTAGTGCTGAAGGACAGCTGGAGGACATTTGTCCATTCCAGACCATCGGCTGGTTGATTTCTACAATCCCATCCTGTAACCCACCTCTCTTGTCCATCCCATCTTCTCATCCACTTCTCTGGCTTACCTACTTGTCTGTTCATCCACCTACTACTCATCTATCCCTCCCCTTCTCCCTCTTATCTACCCATGGAGCATCTGCTCTTTGCTAGGCCATGTGAGGCATCGAGAATGCAAAATAGATGAGGACACCTATTTAACATTTTGTGATTGACCTTTGTAAGGAACCAGCCTTGTTGGCAGAGCCAGGCCATTGTGAACAAGTGTTAGAAGCCCGTCTTTTCCTTTCTGCTCTTGTACACTTGAATTTTCCAAGTGTTGGTGTGATGGAGGCAACTTGATATTTTCACAATAAGAATAAACCTATCAGGTTCTAGACTCTACTTCGCTGAGATCATGGAGAGTTAGAACTGATGTGTTTTTGGTTCAATCTCCTCTACAGATAGGTGACTTGCTCCAGGTCTTCCGGAGTGCTGAGTACATAGGCTGGGCGCTTGCATGTTCTGAATCTGGCATCGTGGAGGTGCAGTGAGCCTGCTTTTGGGAGTTCTGTTTGGGACACCGGAGCACTCTCTGGCAGGCAGGCTCTGGGGATGTGGTTCTCAAGTGTCATTGCCAGACCAGCAGCAGCACAATCACCACATGGGCACCTGTTCTTGAAAACCTGAAATCCTGGGAGTGGGGCCTAGTGCACAAGTTCCAGCAAAACCCTCCAAGGGACCCTGAAGTACAAGTATGTTCAGCCATCGCTGCTCTGGAGAATAAGCTCCGTGGAAGGACTTTTGTCTGAAAATGCCTGGTGGGTTCTTTGCCCCTTTGTGTAGTTACCAGAACACAGACATCGAGGTTAACTCCATCCAGTCCACAGACATGGAGCAAAGTAGCAAGGAGCAGAGGCTCTGGTGGAGTCAGGTGATCAGAATTTAAATCCCGATGCTGCCACTTAGTACCCTTTAGGTTGGAAGCCACAGCTTCTGGGCATGTTTCTCAAGCAATAAAATGACAAAGGCATTTATCACCTGGGTAACTGCCATAGCGGCAATGAAATAAGATCTGAAAGTTCCTAGAACAGAGCCCAGTACATGGCAAGTGCTCCGTAAATGTAATTATTGTGGGTATTAAGTTCCCTACAAAATAACAGATGTGGGGTAGGGCTCTTTACATCATCTTTTGGAAAGAGCTCTCAGATGGTTGGAAGATAAGCTGCGTGTATAGGCCTGGAACATGCAATCTGTTCTGAATTGGGGCTCGTCTATCCCACAGTTTGTCTACAGTAATGTCAAGTGTGGAGCTAAGAGAATCCTGTGTACCCTATGTTAATTCATTTAGAAATCTGGGGAGACACCTGATTTTGCATGGTTTCAGTGTTCTCAATTCATGCTGTAGTCACCGAGCATCTCACTGTGTCCGTGCCCCTGTGAGGGATTGCTCAACGTTCTGCTCCAACCAGTTCAGGTTTCAAAGGTGCATTATTATTTATTAGCCACATGGGGGCATAGAGCTCTAATTTTTACTCCCTTCGAGCAGGCTATCCGTCAAAAGCCTTAGAAATAAAGTTCCTTAGATACTGTGTTAGTAATATTTCAATAAACTCAAGGATGTTCTCAACATATTTCATACGGGCAACGTCACAAACGAACAAAGCAGGTTTGTTTTTAAAAGCTGGGTGCGGAGGTCTGTGCCCTGGCAGCAGTTCTCAATGCTGGTGGCACATTATAACTACTTGGTGGTGGTGGCTGGCAGGGGTGGGTGTTAAAAAAAAATCTCACTATGTTGTACCCGACTCATCTGGGGTGTGTAGCCAGGGAACAGTATCAGCACTTAAAGCTCCCCAGGTTGAGAACCACTGATCTATGGATTAGTGGCACTTGAAAGTTACATGAAACACCTGGCCATCCCTGACACTGTACTAAGGGACGCTGGGGGTCATGGTCACTCTATCAGAAAGTAAACAAAAGTTGAAAAATAGAGCAGTAAGCTAATTACTATGGAGCCAACATGTCCTTAATTTGTCTCCCCATCTGTGCTACACAGACTCCCTGGAGTGCCTAAACTGGCTCCAGCTACATATTTTCAAAGAAAGAAAGTGACTGAGCGTGCCATTCCTGCCTAGTAGCCAGACAGCTTGTGTCACCATGCCTGTGTGTGCATGGCAACCTTTCAACTGTCGGGGGCACTTTCGAGGCCAGGCCCCTCTGCTCTCCACACGCTTCTCTAATGGTGAGCTGAGGCTGTGTTTGATCTTAAATTCCTCTGACTATAATGTCACAGACGTTGGACAATAAAAGGTTTTTTTTTTTTTAAAGGAAGGGGGAAAGGTTTTAGATCACATGTGTTTGTATTCAATAATCATTATCTCTTCATCAAAAAATAAATAACCATGATGAAATATTAGGTATTAATGAGTCCTAAACAGATGAAGCTGCTCAGCTGGCTGTGATGTTCTAGGTGCTTGGCTCGTCCGGCTCCTCACTTTTCCTGTTGCTGAGTACCTGGATGTTAATTATTCATCTTTTAGATATTGTAAGGAAAGTTCTCGGCTTAGGTCTTGAAGCCTTGGCACTCGCTGGGATAGAGGACAAAGAAATGAGGACCACACCAGGGCTCACAGGGCTGGCCGGGCATATGTGACTCATGCTATATCCCACCACATTGTGGAAGAGATGTGCGAGGACAGAGGTGTCTTCAGAGCTCATCCAGCCCAACGTTCTTGCTCTTCCTATAGAGCAGGAAGCTGGGGCCTGGAACCTGCTCTCAATTCAGTGCTCCAACCAGTGACAACCAGAGGTTAATACTGAAGCAGCTCTGGCTGCCAGCTCTCCTGACCTCCAAGCCAAGGAACTTTCCATGGCATCGCGGTTGTCAAAGAAACACGTCCAGGGCACTTGCTTTTTGTTGCCAGCACCATCAAAGCCAGCCCCCCAACTTCTCAGTGGCCCATCGCTTGAGTTATGATTCTAATATTCAGGGCATATGACATTCCTGTCCTTGCTCATAATTTTAATTATGGGTCTGGATTCCTCCTCTCCTAGCCTCCTGATGTCCTTGGTTACTGGAGTTGGAATGTTTTTCTTAGTAAAATACTAAAAACAAATGCTAGACCTATGTGCATGTGTGTTGACTTCAATAGGCACTGGTAACTGAAAAATACTGAGAAATTCTGTTTCTAATGCTGGTGTTGGCGGCAGGGAGTGTGATTCAACAGACAGTGCTGTTTTAGCTTTTTTTTTTTTTTAAACTATTCGTAGCTGTTATACTGGATGGAGGATGGAGAGAGGAGAAAAGGGATTTGGCAGTCTAGGCTCATCTGTAAATGAATTTTGTGTGACAATACAGCTTAAGGGTATAACCACTAATCAAACAGAAAGACACCTCCCATTGAAGTCACTCTAAAACAGGGACAAACGATCTCTGAGTATGGCAGGATGGAGGAGTCCTGCCCTCTTTTTGTGCATCAGATCCTTTGCAATCTGCAGCAAAAGGCTTCCCTCTGGACTTTCGGCTGCTTCACCTGGTGATGAAGACATCTTTGCCTGAAAGCCAAGCTCCTGACCTACCAAGTCCAACCCCAGGGCTTCAGGCCTTTGATGTTAATAAGTTAGAATTTTCGAAATTGTATTTTTCAGGACACTATTGTCTGTGAGATGTTTATAGGCCTTTCTTAATAATCTGGGGAAATTCAGGCTTGATCAAAATTAACATTTTTGACGAAGACAATCTCTTTGAGCGTCTCATAGCACTTGGCCCATGAAGCCTTAAGTGGGCACAGAACGTGTTCTTCCCCAAACATTTGAATGCAGATGCTTCTAACGAAAGAAGGGCTTATTAGCAGCTCACGAGACCCCAAAGCTAAGTAGAATGCAATGTGGGGACATGCTGTAATAAATGATGGGGAGAAAAACAGGTCATCTTTAAGTGAAAGGAATATGAGAGAAGGTGCGAAAAAAAGTTGCATATCGACATACCTTATAAGTTACAACTGCTTCAGTTTTTCCCGGAATTCTCAGCCCTGAAAGTCTAACTGATCCTCACTTAAAATTCTTGATCTCTCAAACTTGGTGTCTCAGACTAAAACTTTGTGTGTTATACCCAAAATGTTTAAATAGTCCCAATTCATTTCTCAGGGAAGGAAGCAGAGGACTATGGTTGGAGGACTGACCTAGCACAATAGACGGCTACGTTTAAAGACACTGGGAGGACTTCTTGCATCCGGCTCTGTTGCTGGGCCTCCATCTGGGTCTACACTGCCAAAGCACAGGGCAGGAGGTGAGGCCCACCAGGCCCACCTTGTCTCGGGGCTCTGGCAAGAGCCCTCCCTAGGGTACCACACAGGGAGGCCATCTGGGACCATAGAACAGTTGCACTTCAGTGTAAAACTCTTACACTGTCTCTGGAAGGTCCATCCAGCTTCTCTGGTTCTGTTAGTTAGAGGCCAGGTCTCCGGGCAGACTACCCCACCCCACCAGGTGGGAACCACTCATGGGTGAGGCCAGGTCCTGTTATTTGGAGATCCCTCCTCTCTAACCCCACCGTGACAGTTAAGTAGGAAGTGTTTGTTGTGATTTCTGATGGTTAAGGTCTACGTTGGGTTGCTCAGCGCTGCCCCTCACGCCCCAGTAAATACGGTTCGTCTGAAAAGAAATGTAAGACAAAGAGACCAGGGAGGTGCCAGGCCGAGTTGCCCGCACAGCCCCTACGTTTCCTGGCTCAGAGCATAGCTGGAAATCCAATTCCAAAATCAAAACTTAGAAAACTGCTTTGGTGTTGCTAATTTTCAAGTTGGCCCACGAATTAATGTCAGCGGCTATAAGGCCGCCCCTCATTTGTCAAAGGATTGTCTCCCTCTCAACAAAGGAGATGATCAAATGGGTAAGTTGCACGCCCTGCCCCTCCTCCACCATGGGACAAAAATGAACTGGTTTTAATTTTGAATTAAAAAACCAAAAAGGGCCTGCAAATATTTTTCCTCAATCAACCCATCTGCCAAAAAGACTGTTCACCCCTGCTTTAGGCACCTCTGGGCACGCAGGCCCTGCATGCTTTCGACTTGAAGAAGTGTCACCAAGCCCTCTGATTCATTCACATTATTCCAGATTGCCCCATCCTGGGCTGGCTCCAGATGCATTTTGCATCTACTTCTAATATGGTGGCTTCCTCATGACTCAACCCGCTTGTTCTCAGAATTTTGCTTTGTAGATTTTCCATGCGAGGCAGCTGTCGCGCAGCTGTTCGCTGTCCTCAGCTGATGGCAAATTTCAGGCTACACCCAAGAACCATCTCCCGGGGGCTCACACCCTTTGGCCTTCCCATCCCCTTTGGATGTGATCTGCCCAGGGCGCCCTGCTCCTCCAGGGTCAGACACGGCCCAAGGCCCAGCCAGCCTCTCCGACGACAGCATCCTGCCACCTCCCCTGCCGAGGGAGGCGGGGAAGAGCTGGGCCCCGAGCACGGGAAGATGGGAGCAGCCTCCCGGCCTGTGAGTGTCGGATACAGGAGCACGAGGGCTCCTTCCTCCAGACTTAAAGGCGTAACCCAACATCGGAGCTGATCACATCCCTGAGTGACAGACACATCAGCTCAATCGGGGTGACGCCGTGCCGATCAGCTGCTCAAACTCTGCGAAGGCCAGCTTTTAACACTGTTGCACCTCACTGTGGACCGTATTTGCAAAACACAGTAAAAACCAATTAGGAAAACAAGGCAAAACACAAGCATTGATCGTTAGATTTAGACAAAATGTCTATGAAATGGGTATAGAAATGGCTAAAGACCCAACTTGTGTTTTCATCCAATCATGAACCGAGGAACGCATGGTTCTAGGCAGGCATAAGGCCTGGGCTGTATGTTAAGCGGCATTGATATACATGGTTACGTGATGCAGAAATGTTTCCTATCGCTCGCCTGTTCTCTGAGAACACAGGGTTCTGGGCTCTTCTCTGGTCATCTGAGTTTGGTCTCTGCACGCAGCTAAGTTCTACCGCCTTCTGCATGAGCACACCACCTCCACTCGGTGGAGAGCTTCCCGATACACGCCAGCTCGCAGTCCTCACTGCTAACAGGCTTTGCTCCACTGGGGCTCGACCTAATGTGCGTTACCCCCCCTCCTACCCAGATCCCACCTGCCAATATTCATGCAAGTGTCCCTTCCTGCCCGCTGCTCCCTTTCTTTTGCCGATTTTCAAGCTGGCCCATGGATTGTCAGTGGCTAAACGCCCTGGTGGGCTCCCAGGGGCTTCCTATCTATGGGGGTAACACTGCCCTACTCACCGGTGTCGTTGGGGTATTTGTCTCCCCTGGTGCACGTTCTCCCATCGTCCTCCTGGATGTAACCCTCCCGGCATTCACAGCGGTAGCTGCCCACGGTGTTGATGCACATGTGTGCACACAGCGTCTCGTTGCTGGTGGCACACTCGTCGATATCTGGGTTTGGACCAAAGGCAGAGAATGCTCTGTTTCAGAGACCTCTCTTCCAACACGACAGGTGGCATTAGGTGTGGCCATCCCGTGGATGCTTGCCCAGGGCACTTTGCCAGCCTCGATCAGAGAAGGTTGGACTAGAGAAGGACACTAGACACAGGAGCCAGCATGACGGGGAGCCTCGGGCAGTGTCCCCATGGTGGCAAGCTGATCAGTGATGGGCTTTCCGGTTGTGGCTTTGCCACCACCAAGTCGTGTGGCTTGGGGCAGGTGTTACTAGCCTTCGAAATTCCCATCTACAAAACATGATGATGACACCGGCCCGAAATACTGGGCTGGGCTCCTCGGAAGAGGCAATGAGACGATTGAGGGCAACATTCTTTGAAGAGCAAGCATCAGGGCCAGGCTTTTCTGCAAGGACCCCTGGGGCCCAAGGGTCTCCCCCACCCCCACCCCTTTATGGCTCTTGGTTCTGAACAGCAGGATGGTGACCCAAGGTCAGTTAGGACTGGCTCCTTCCCAGTTAAGAGATGTAATGAAACCTGGGAAAAGCCACTTCTGGGGGCAAAAAACAATAGTCCCAATGGGTCTAATGGAGAGTTTTCCCAGGAAATTTTGGTGTCATCAGTGATCCAGACGGACTGCTGGGCAGCTGTGGCAACGAGCCATGACACCATCCATCACGGGACCCGTCAGAGTCCACAGACACCGTGCACATCACAGACTGGCCCCCTTACCGAGTGGGGCGGAAGCAAAACTGTTTCCCACCAGGGGAGGGAGCAAGGCCCCAGTCTGCTTCCTGCTCCCTGGTTGATGACATCAGGTGGCAGTGGGGGAGGAGGGGGCGCATGACACTCAGTCCTGTCTGTGCCCATGTGGCAGATGCACAGAGCTCAGCCCTGCACGTCTTGCAGTGCTGCTCTCTGCGCCCAGGACCCCCCACCCCCCCGTGGCAGCCCCCGTGTGCGGCCAGCTGCACGTGTCCCGGCAGCAGGTACTATGTCATCTGCGGACTACGTGTCACAGCTGGATTCACCGCTGCAATTCCTCAGGCTGAACACTTTTCTTCGCGCGCCTCTGCCCTAAACCTAAGTGTGAAGCTGCCTCTCTGTCCGGAGGAGGGAGGAGGAGGGTGAAAGGAGAGAAATAGATGGAATTCTTGGCAGAATGCCAGTTTTGTGGATCCCTAGATGGGAGGCAGAGAGTACTGAAGCTCGAAGCTCCGCAAACTGAAAGGAGAAGCCCTGTGCCTGGAACCTCAGGGGAACAGAACGTGCGCCGCGCTCTCTGTAGGAGGCACACTGGGTCCCGCGGCAGGCACTTCGTGGTCTCGATCCTCTTCTCTGGGGGGTGGGGTGCTACCATAGGAGCCACTGGGGGAGAGGCTAGGAGGCTAAGGCCTAGAACTTCTCTTCCACAGTGCTCTCTGGAGCCCCAGCTGGGGCAGAGAAGGGGGGCGCGCATCACCGCTTGCTTATTCTCCACTTGGGACCACCTGGCTCCTCGGTTCATCCTCCAGGTGGTCCTCAAACTTGACCCTGCATGGGAGTCACTAGAGACAGTTGTATAAAAGCAGATTTCTGGATCCGCCCTAGGCTCTGGAGGCCAGGCCAGGCATCTTTTTTTAAACACAAGAACTGCAGATGTTTCCGAGGCAGGTTAGCCACATACTGACCACGTTTGGAAACATGTGGCTCCAGGGGACAGTTACCATCACCCTCGCAGAGGGCACAGCCGGACAGCCCGCCAGGGAGGGGGGGACCCCGCTGGGGGTGAGGGATGGTGCTAGGCTCGTCCAGCTGTGGTCCAGGTGGCCGGCTGCAGCTCCTTCTGACCCACTTCCAATCTGCCTGCCACACGGCCCCTCCCTCGTTCCCAGCCTCCCCGCCTGGTCTTCGGGAACATGTGGGTTCCTGGCTCTCTGTGTTTTTACGTTCCTGCCCACTTATATTCTGTTTGACATTGTTCTCATTTTCACTTGCTAATGTTCCCTTTCTCCTGCCCTCATATCTCACTGCCTATTAGGATCCGACTGGGACCAGCTCCCTGAAGAATGCCTTGGCTACGGCTTGTTGGATCAGTCACAGCGAAAGGCAGTGACAGCCAGCACGACGCTGAGTATCTGGACCTAAGGGGAGAACCAAAGGTCAAAGCAGCTCCGGGGAGCTGGTCCACAGGGACTATCCAACAAAGGACAGAATCACCGCCCCAGGAGCTGGGAAATTGGCCCACGATGCCAACACACCCAGGCAGTAGGGCTTCTCGCGCCTCCGGTGTCGCTCCCGGTCGTAGCGGTACCCGGGGTAGCAGGTACACAGCACTCGGCCGAAGTTATCTGTGCACTGCTGTTCACAGGGAGCCTCGGCACACACGTCGTAATCTGAAAAAGACAAGCGTGAGCTCACGTCGGCCACAGTCCTTCAGCAGCCCGGGCGGTGACCCTGGGCCTGGACCAGACCTGATTGGGTTGCTGCCTGCTGGGAATCTGCACGTTTGGACGGGTGCTAACTCTTGAAAGTCCCACGATGGGGAACTTGGTGCTCGGCCTGGCCGTGGTTGAAGGCAGACGTCACCTGTGATGCTTCCCCAGGTCACCTCCTCATCTCCTGGGGTCCGCCACTCATCTAGAAAGCCAAGATGCTCTAGATGGCCAGACCCTGCAGCAGTACCTGGGGGCCTGTCTGGTCTTTTTCACCAGCTGTGGTCCAGACAGGGAATTTCTTCCAGATGAGCACTGAAGAACAGCTGGCCCTGGTGGGGGGCGTGGGCACCATAACGTGGGAGCGAGGGCTGAAGTCACGCAGGCTAGGAGGAGCGTGAGGGAGGCTTTGGAACGCGTGTGAGTGATGCAGGGATGGTGTCTTTGTGCCCTGCAGGGGAGTGTGTGTGTGTGTGCTGGGGCTCGGTCCTGTTCCCAGGAGGAGCTGGGAACGGCTGGAGAGCTCTGGAAGCCCTATTACTTGAAAAGAATTAGAGCCTGTCCTCCTCCCAGTCCTTACAAACTGATCTTTAATGAGCCTCTGAAGGGATGTGGCTCTGAGTCAGGAGCTCAGGCTGCACCTTTACCTCCACACTAGATCCAGCATCTGCATCACTGGGCTATCTTCCCCGGGTGCTGACAGATGAATGATCCTCAGATGCGGAGTCAGCCTGGCTCTGCTCCGCCGCACAGGACGGTGGAGTGCACGGGCCCGTCAGCCTCTAGTGCAGGTGGGGTCTGCGTGGCGAGGGTCATGCCATTCTCATGATGACCCAGAGAGCTGCCCGTGCTCCATCCTTTGCCCTATAACTGTGATGCCAGGCCTGCTTTTCCTGTGGGTGTTCTTGGTCAAACCTGGTTTCCTTGATTCAGTATCCCCTCTAGGCAGCCAATGTTTCCTGCTCTATACGTTTCTTTCTCTTGCTCCCATGCTCTGCCTTTTTTGCAGAATGCCTACTCTGTCCCAGGCCCCCGGCTAGGAGGCATGCAGCATTATGATGAAGAGTATGGGTTCTGCACCCAGCCCTCCCAAGACTGCGACTATCTCTGTGACCTTGAGTCCTTTAAGCCTCATCCTCTCACCTATAAACTAGGGGTGACGGTAATCCTGACCTTATGGTGCTTTTATGAAGGTTAGCTTGGATGATGCACTAAGCACAGTGCCTGACACACAGTGAAAGCTTAACCTGCTCTTCTGCGTCCTTTATGAGTAGCTCTTATGAGTGTTTGGGTATCTGGCAAGGGCTGTGTCCCCTGGAGTAACTGGCACTACTCTCTTCCGACAGTTTATGCTCAATTAATAACTGTTGAACTAGAACAAATCAGATTATTCTATCACCTAGCCAATCAAAATAATACAGCAGGGCTTGGCAAAACATATCTGGTTGGCAACCACTACTCAGCTCTGCTGTGGCAGAGCAAAAGCAGCCTAGGTAATACACAAGTGCATGAGTGTGCTCGTGTTTCAATAAAGCTTTATTTACAAACATAGACAGTGGGTCAGATTTGGCCATAGGTTGTTGACTTCTACCTTAGGGCAACAACTGAGGCAACAACACTCTTCTAAATTGCAGCTTCTACTCAGCATATTTGTTTAAAAATTCTAGTCTCTTCACTACCTGTGATGGCTAATTTTATGTGTCAATGTGACCAGATCACCATACAGAGATACTGGGTGGAGCATATTCTAAATGTTTCCATGGAGATCTTTTTTTTTTTTTTTAAAGATGGGATCAACATTTTATTCAGTAGAGTCTGAATAAAGCAGATTACCCTCGAAAATGTTGGTGGGCCCTTTCAATCAGTTGAAGGCCTTAATAGAAAAAAGACTTCCCTAGGAAGAGGGAATTTTGGGGGTAGACAGCCTTCTGACTCAAATTGCGACTTTCTTCTGGGTCTCCAGCTTAACCTAGGGACTTCTGATTTGCCAGCCTCCACAATCTTGTCAAGTAATTCCTTTAAATAAACCTCCCTCTGTTTCTCTGAACAATCCTAACTAATACACTATCTTTTCTGAAATTTTAGTTTTATACTTTGCATTCCTGGTAATGGAAATCTTTATGATTAAAGAGATCTTGAGTAAGAACCTCTCCCCCCTTATTCCCACAGATTAAAACACTTAAGTGTTCTAGTGACACCAACACAGCAGAGAGTTACGGCAAGGCTACATTGATCACAGGTGTCACAGACTCACTTGAGGGTGAAGGGAGACTACTTTCAGGCTCTGATGTTTGAAACACGACCTCACATTTAAAGAAACTCTAAGTATGTGGTACCCATGTAATGTGTTTTTATTTAGGTTGGGCAAGGTCTTTAGCTGGGATCTTACACTGACTGGCCCAAACTTAGTTTTCTTAGTATCTGCCAAATTGAAATATAAAGGACACAGCTGCGGGTGGAGAAAAGCTGGCTTATAAAAAAATGCAATTATTTTGACCTTTGTGGGGTCTTTTTTTTCCCCCACCAAGTTCCAACCAACAGAATTGACTGGTGAGAAATTCAGTCTCGGAGAGGCCCAAGGCCACATAAACCATCATATGTAAAGTGATTTCCTAACCAACCTTCCTAAAGCAGCTCTCTCAGGGGTCCCAGCAGTGGTTTGGTGAACTCTTCCACCATTTCACTGAAGACAGCAATACACAGGGAGGATTCATTTATTTCCAGCTGAGACAAAGAAACTGCATTCTAGGAGATAAAGCAACATGAGCTGGCTTGGCCGGGAGCCTGGTCGTCCACAGAGACCTGGCTTCTTGGGTGACAGTGAAGAAACCTATTTCTCATTACCCAGCCTTCTCTCCCCAGCCCCAGGCAAACTAATCTCACACTCTCCAAACAGTTCATGTTTTCTGGATCGGCACTGGGAACCCTTTGCAGCTCTTTTCCTCCTGCTTGTCCAGGTTCTGGGCAGCCTTCCTTGATCAGTTAGGTCCTCCTCTTTCCGGAGACCGCCTCTGACTGCTCTGGTCCTCTGTGCTACGTGCCTGTTCCAGACACTGCTTCCCTGAATACCTCCGCCACACATGTTGTGGTTATCATCAAAAACAAGAGCAGGAACCACCATTCATCTAGTGCCTAGTAAGAGCCAGTTTCTGTTCCAAGTACTTCACATGTGGTAATATTCTTTTTTTTTTTTTTGTGGTAATATTCTTAAAACCACCATGAGTCAAGTACTAATACCTTCCCACGAAAACTAAGATAGGTGCGTGTTACAGACTTAATCCTAGTGTCCTCTTGAAATTTGTATGTTGAAATCCTAACCTCCAAGGTGACGGTATTAGGAGGTGGGGCCTTTGGGAGGTACATAGGTCATGAGGGTAGAGCCTTCATGAATGGACCTGGTGCATTTATAAAAGAAACCCCAGAGAGCTCCCTTGCCCTTCTGCCCCATAAGGACATAGCAAGAAGATGGCTATCTATGAACCAGGAAGCTCTCACCAGACAGGGTTTTCCAGGGTCTTGGTCTTGGACTTGAGCCTCCGGAATTACATAAGAAATATAAGTTTGTTGTTTACCAGATTATGGAATTTTTGTTACAGCAGCCAGAATGGACTAAGGCAATACGGAAAATGTAATTAAAATTCAGGTCAGATTCCATGCTATGTATGTATAGACAGGTATGTGCCTTGAGGGCTGGATACATGTCTTACACTGCTCTGCCTCTTTAGTGCTGGGCTGAGCACGGTGCTTGAAGGGGCTTTGAGTCTAGCATCTGAAAAGCACAGAGAGGTCGGGGAGGATGCTTGTGTTCTGTGTATGAAATGCTGATTAGGGAAATACAGCCCCTTCAGCTTAAAACCTGAAATATGAGAATTACTCAATATATAAGTTGTGTAATGATTTAGCTAGAACATGCTACAGGTAACCAAATAGGCGCTAGAAAAATTTAATGCCAGAGAAACCTGAAATTACACGCAGATAACCCACATACATTCTATGTACATCTGAACTTTATAGACACCTAAGGGTTAGTCACAAACAAGGTGAGAAGACATAATCTTTTATATTACATACCTTCTGGGATGCATTGTCCAAGAACAAATTTATACCCTTTGCAGCATTTTTTCCTAAGAGACAAACAAAAATGTATTTTAAATGGGATGTTAGATTAAAAATAGAATTCTTTTCAGTTATCGAATGACTTGTGCCCAGGAAAAAGTGAGGCATAAGGGAAATAAGGCATAGTGTATTTTTAAGGGAAGTGGAGATAAAAAGGGGAAAGATAATCAATATCACATGGTCACATCTTCCAACAGCAGGATGTCCTTTTCACCACGTAATATAGGAGTTTAATCACTTGAATCCTATGAAGTGGATTAACGCAGAGACTTTAAGATACTTGTATCAGATGAGGGGAGGCCTAGAGGATATAACAGAACTTTGAGGCTGGCCAGGCACCTCCTCCTCCAAGCCAGGGATTCACATGACTTGCTAATTATAACAATTAGTTAATAATAACTAGATAATTATAATGATGTCTAATTGTAATAACAATTAGGTAACTAATTATTATTAAGACTGAGGCTGGGAGCCCAATGATTCTAACCCCCTATTTGAGTGCTTGCTTTATACCTGTACCACAGAAGTTACTGAAAGGTATCTAAATTATCTGAATTAAAAAAACAGCAAATAGGCAATTCATTCATTCATTTATTTTGAGAGAGCACTCAGGAGTGGGGCAGAGGGAGAGGGAGAGAATCTCAAGCAGATTCCATGTTTAGCGCAGAGCCCAACTCGGGGCTCAATCTCATAACTCCGAGATCATGACCTCAGCCGAAATCAAGAGTCGGAGGCTTAACTACCTATATCACCCCGGTGCCCCCCGCAAAACAGGCAATTCTAACAAAAATTTCCAAGACTTCAATCTCTCCCTGAGGTAAAGAAATGGTGCCATCAGTTCAAAATGTTAATCTCTCCTGGAAGGACTATGTCTCTGGTATGGAGTTGTAAGCTCCTCACAGACCAACCCCCTGCAGACAGCAACTATACACTTTGGAGAAAACAGAAGGAAACCACCACAGGCAGGTTCTGGTGAGTCGAGAGAGAAATTCAAGATTTAAGAGGAGAGTTGAAATTCTGAACAAGGGGCTGACCCAGGCTAAGTTTCTTGCTTTCTGGGCTTTAGCCTGAGTGCCTATCACAGCTGCTAAGTGGTGTAGAAAGCTAAAACACAGGGAACCCACAGTGTGTTTTGGCTTGATCAAGTGGAAGACAAAGCTGGGGCAACCAGAGGCATGAAAAATTGAGGGAAAACCCAGGAAAGGAGAGTGCTGGAGAAGAGTAGCCTTAAATTCTGTGTATAAATCCTCTGGTAAGCCCTGACCCATGCCTGTGAGGAGCAGGTTCAAAACACCCCTGGTAAATACAACTCATGCTGGATGAAGGCTTGAGCTGCCACCTACTGCAAGGCAGCTTTCACATTACATCCAACCATGTTACTTGCCTGCCAAAAGAAAAATACCAACATTTCTTGAATGAATAGAACAGGATCCAGGGTCTTCATAACTTATACAAATGAGATAAAAAGGGGAAAGATAATCAATATCACATGGCCACATCTTCCAACAGCAGGATGTCCTTTTCACCACGTAATACAGGAGTTTAATCACTTGAATCCTATGAAGTGGATTAATGCAGAGACTTCAAGATACTTGTATCAGATGAGGGGACACAAATGAGACCCATTTTCAAGGGAAAGACAGTCAATGATGCCAACTCTGATTCTAGATGTTGGTATTATCAGACATGACGTTAAAGCAACTCTTACAACTATGTTTGATGATATAAGGGAAAATATTCTTGTGATAAAGGAAAAAGTAGGAAATCTAAGAGAAGTAGAAACTATGAAAAGAACAAAATATAAGAACTAGAAAATATATCCAAAAAGAAAACCCCATCTTGCTGAATGGGTTTCACAACTGGGTGGTGATAAGCGGGAAAGAATTAGTGAATCTGAAAATATATGCACAGGATCTACCCAGTTTAAAGAGAAAAAAAAATGATTTAAAAAAATGCACCAAACCTCAGGGACTGTGGGACAATTTCAAAAGTTCCAATGGATGGTATTTGGAGTTCCAGAAGGCAAGGAAAGCGAGCCAAAAAAAGGAGCCGAAAAAAAATGAAAAATGGTTGAAATATCCCAAGTTCAGTGAATAATGTAAATTTACAGACTAAACATATTTAGCAAACTTGAAACGGGTTAAATACACACACATATGAAAATTTGTCTGGAGACATCATAGTCCTCCTGCTGAAAACTAAAGGGAAAATCTTGAAAGCAGGCGGAGAAAAAGTACACATCATACAAGTGTGTGGGCCATGCATTTCCAATCCAAAGCCATGGTAAGCAGAAACAGTGGTAGGATATCTTTAACTACTGAGAAAACAAACCAGCCTGCTGTTAACCCAGAATCCTATATCCAGAGAAAATATCCTTTAAGACTGAAGGTGAAACAAAGATGTTTCAGATTAAAGAAAACAAAGCATTATTCACCAGCAGACCTGGATGACAAGAAATGCTAAAGTGCATTCTTCCGAATAAAAAGGGACAGGGTGCGGGGGGGGGGGGGGGGGGGCAGGGCAAGGGGAAACATAGATCTTTAGGAAGGAATGAAGTGCCCCATACATGGTAAATATCTGGATACATATAAAAAGGCTATTTTTTCATCTTTAGTTATTTTAAAGCAGAAATTATACCGTTGTCTTGCAGGATTCATAATGAAAGTAACTGCAACAAACTGCACTGCAGAATTTAAAAATGGCAGGGTTATAAAGGGACCTACATGGTCGCAAAATTTCTACACTGTGTGTGAAAATGTACAACACAACAGATAATTCCTTTTGTTCTCCAACTCCCCAGCCTCCTTATTTTTCCCTTCCCTCCCAGCTGGGTTCCTTGAAAGTTTCTCTTTACCATTTCCAAAACCAGGATGTTAATTCAGATGCCAAGAATTAATCGGGGTGCGTGAATCTGAGAATCTCCAGAACATAGGCCAAGATTTTTGAATTGTCTATAAAGGTTAAGCTATCATTTAAAAAAAAAAAGATTTCTCTTTAATCTTAAAAAAAACCACATTCAAGGTTATTCCCATGGGAATATCCTCTCAATGATTTGTATTTAGACATGCTTTCTGGGTGGAAGAGAAAGGGAGTTAAATATGGTCTAATGATTGGAGAGTGCACATCGCCTGCAGCCTATTGATGCCATGTGTGTGAGCATATCATTTGTATGTTGTAGTGAATACTGGGGCATAAGCCAGAGATTTGGGAAATTAGGCATTATTTGGGTTCTAAAGAAAATTCCCACCTTTGTCAAACGGTCTGAACCTTCCACCAGGTTAGACAAGGCTTTCTAAGAAAAATTTCACACACTTAAGCCTATTTTTTCCATCATATTTTAGTAAGACAATCACAACATGACTTTCTGCTTTTACAAATTAGTTTAGCCTACTTCAATTATTCATCAAATTTTATTTTTTTTAAAGATTTTAAGTAATCTCTACACCCACCATGGGGCTCAAACTCATAACCCCAAGATTAAGAGTTGCATGCTCTCCCACTGAGCTAGTCAGGTGCTCCTGTCAAATGCTAGACAGGTTACCACTCACAGGAGAAACTCAGCCATCTCTTCCCAAAACTTTTAAAATTTGTTAAGAATTTTATTAAATCCGGGATCCCTGGGTGGCGCAGCGGTTTGGCGCCTGCCTTTGGCCCAGGGCGCGATCCTGGAGACCCGGGATCGAATCCCACATCGGGCTCCCGGTGCATGGAGCCTGCTTCTCCCTCTGCCTGTGTCTCTGCCTCTCTCTCTCTCTCTGTGACTATCGTAAATAAATAAATAAAAAACCTTTAAAAAAAAAAGAATTTTATTAAATCCACTTGTAAATCTTGTATAAAATGTATTAAAAATGTGTACAACTTACAAACATCACATCTGGTAAGAGAACATCGTGGGGCTCAGTTGGGTACAGCAGCAGAGCCTCATTTCTCCCTGCAACATTTCTCACGTGCAGTCCAGCTGCCATGGACATTCTTACTTCAAATACATAATAAGTGGGTTTCCATTTAAAAAAAAAACAGTGGCATCTGGGATGCTTCCAAATCACACTTGAGTGAAATAACTAAGGTCCCCTCCCCTGCAAAGAACACATTTACCAATCTGTATGTATATACTCAATACAGATTATTTTGAATCTTTCCTCAGTATATTTTATGTTTTATATATATGTGGGTGTGTGATTTACTGCTATGAATGATGTGTGGCAATGTCCAGAGTTTTCCAATTAGACATAATTTCCCAACATCTCCATCTGATTTATAATTTTACATGACAAGGGAAGCCCATGGGGTAGAAATTTATGATTATCGTTATTTCTAACAGAAGTAGAGGATCTACCTTTACCTTCTGTGAAACTTACAGTCGGTCTAGGTTTCCACGGCTTAAGAAAGTCCAAGTTCCTAACAACTAGAAAGAAAACTGCTTGATCATTAAAATTTTACAGTTCTTACTTACTGTATTACTTGAAGCTGTCCTATGGAAAACTCTAAGAGGAAGAACAGTACCCTAGATGATCTGAAAGTCAATCAAATCACAAGAAAGTGGGATGAAGGGGGAACATGTGTTTTTGATACATTTTAAGTGCAATAGCACATTTAAGCATATGGTTCTATTTGTCTGTTTCTATTCAAATAGCACGCCTAACATATAGCCACGGAGAAGTTAGGCGGCATTTGAAAGTTCATGCACGTGGACGCAACCCTTATAATCTCTCCTTCTACGTCCAAGATCTCATACTTGGGCATTCTGATCTTTTTGAGCATCACAAGGGCTTGGGATTGTCCATTTAGTGGAACCCAAAGTAATCTGTCATTCGCTTTTTTATTAAATTAAATCACATAGTGATTTGATACGCCTTCAAAAGTCTACAGAGCTGTATCAGGAGATCTAAGCTTCAGAACGGCCATGCTTCATTTAAATACCTGCTCAGTTAAGAATTAACTCCCCCTCCGCTGCTTTTTTCTTTAACTGCCTATCTCACGCCATCTCTCTGCTGGAGAGAAGGAGGTC